CCACCACCTAAGTCCAGGTTTATTTTTAAAGGTGTTCCTCTAACTTTCTCCTCCTTTCTGGAGGCATTTCTCATCTGTATAAAGCGTGTTCCTTCCACAGCTCTCTGTATAAGTTCTCTTTTCCTGTTAGTTTGTATAATCGTCCCTTCTTCATCTTCAGCTCCATGTACATCTTTGGAGGCTTTTCTGGTATGCTTCTGAACGACGTGCTGGCTTACACGCCTCCATCCTGCCAGGCCTTCTCTAGCCCAGGTTTGTGCGCCACTGCCGGGCCAGGTGTTCGTTGTCACTGGGTGAAAAGTAGATGTGTCCCCTGGAAGCCAACACCACCCGACCACATTTTTCCTGCTCCTTTCTGCCCCGCTCGGCCTGGTATGTTATGCTTCTGTTTACCGAGCAAATTCTTTGCCATTTATATGCATCTGTTTCTTTGTTTCAGTCTAAATATTTTCACTGCCATGTCAACATAGTTTTCCTGAAATGTACCACACAATCAAGCACAAGTGCAACTCCCAAAAGGCTTATTTTTTCACAAGAATCGTAATTATTCTGGAGGGCTCTGAAGTATGTTTGCAATTCATAATTACAGGAACAGAAGGTCAGCACTGCAACAATTACCTAATTTCAAAGTAATTAGGATCGGTCTGAACCAGATGTAGATGCGGTAGCTCTTCCAGGTATTCTGCTTCAGGCACCTCGCTCGAGGTTTAAGTAGAAAGTAATTATGAAAATGATTTTGCTGTCAGTTTTAAATGGAGCATAAGCCCACATGGATTGAATGAATTAAAAGATCAAATCAATGGGTTTGCATTTAAAAGCCTGCTCATTGCAATTCACATACACCTTATCTAACCTTCATAACTCATGACAACATTTGTGTCATCCCAAGCACACAAATCCCATTAATGTCCATAAAAACAAAATAAAATCTAACCTTAATTTAAAAGTTAAATGCTACATTTTCAATTTTTTTTCCTGGGTAATGCGATAAATGACTGACACACGCCAAAAAAAACCCCAATAACAGGTTAAAATGTGTTCTTTACTGAGGCCAGAATAACAAATTATAGAAACTATAGTTCAAAAAGAGCAAGTAGTCAAACCAGCAGCCTTGTGAACACTGATCATCTCTTCTACTGCCTGAGCCAGCCTGTGCAATCTATGTTTAGCATGTTGAGACAGTCTTAGTGTTAGGTCTGCAAATCCCGAATAACGAAGTTGTCACTTGGTAGCTTCCTGATTATTGCATCCAAATATGGTAATACATTTTATTTTACACTGCCCTAATAGTTTAAGTAGTTGTACATGTTCACCTCTGTGCACTATATGTATTAACTGACTGATAGACATTTCCATGAAAATCACATTTACATCTTTGCTAGTCAAGAAGTCAAATCACCAACAGATGAACTCTTTGAAACATTTGTTGGCTGATTTCAATAAGTGGAAATCGATTACTGAAAGTAAAACTGTACAAGTTGTGCTCAGTCCATAATATTATGAAAGCATTTTATTGTCCATACACTTTATTTAGACAGTAACAATACAGATTAGGGGGGAAAAGGCTGTGACCTAGTGTCTTTGTTGCCTTTGTACCGATGTGCTTATGTTTTTTTTAATTTGTCTATGTTCTCCATTTTTAGACAGTACAGATGAGCAGTGTTTCCGCTTCTCAGACTGTGCGAGCTGCACTGCCAACACAAGAGGATGTCAGTGGTGTGAGGACAGGAAGTGCATATCTGCCTCAAGCAACTGCACTGTGGTGAGGCTTTACTGACTATCAGTAAAATATCTATGGTAAACCTTATCGTATAGTATTGATAGTGCAATAATTGAATTAAATCTTTGATGGAATACTTAACATATTGGTTCCTGACAATGCTAGAAGTCATAAAAAGTGCAAAGACTGTTCTGTCAGTGGCTGAGCATCAATGCAATTTGGCACCATAGAAAGTATAAAATATGGATAGAGGTAATTATATTTGTATAAAAAGGGCTAATCAGCTAATTGTAGCTTGTGTGGTTTTCATCCATAAGCTGTATAGGGGAACACACACATTTGCTAGTTAGCTAAGTGGCATACAACACTCAACAAAACCAAAGCAGAAACTTCTTGGATGGTCTGTGTCTCACAGCAAGCCATAATCTTAGATTACTCAATAAAACGTGACAAAAGACAATGGAAAGGTCGAGTGTAATGACCCAAAGTATTTAAAGCAAGGCCTGCCTCCAGCTGCCTAATTTGGGACACCTGTCAAATTGGCCATGCCTAAAATGCCCCACTTAGTTATTATAGAGCTGTGAAATTTCACATTTTATCATACAAGTCTGTGCGGATTGACTTGCTTTTGCAGTCAATCTCAAGTGACCATTAAAGAAAATGCATTTAAAAAATAAATAAATCTCCCGAGGCCTGAGGCTTTTCCTTGTCTGGCACCAAAATTGCACTCAGAAAAAGCTAAGTGAGTGGTGGATTGGAGATGCAGCCATTTGGAAACGATCCTTTGTTGAGCGTGAGCTGAAAACGTGAGCTGATAAATGCTGGAGGAAAGTTCAGAGGCTTTTCAAATGACTGGTTAAAGGAAGAAGCTGTCGATGTCTTATATAAAGTCTTAAAACATTCAACACCATTCAAAACATGGTCTTTTTAAATGATCACACAGACACACACGCTCATTTAAGGTTTTTGTTTTTTCTTTTATTCTCTGAAGCATCAAAATGAACATTTAAAAAAAAAAAGCAAAGTAATCGTTGGGCTGAAATGAAACTTGTTATAAATATTTTCTCGTGTTATTTTGTTACGTTTGCTCATTTTGTTTCCTCCTTTCACAGTCTCTGTTTTTAATCTCAACCCTGCTTTGTGTGTGTTTCTTTGTGTGTTTGGCTATCTGTTGCTTTCTTTCTGTCTACGTGCTTGGCTGGATTTGATCTGAATCTGTGAACGGATCGGACTGTTTGTGTGTGTGTGTGTGTGTTAGCTGACTCTGGAGCTGGCCCAGCAGCATGGCGGCGCTCTGTCTCTGTCTCCCCCTCCGTCCATGTTGTCTGAACATCAGCTGAGCTTGTGGAAACACGGAGCCAGGAGAAGGGGACATGTGTGTATCATTTGACACTTCCTGTTAAGCTTCAGGTTTGGGCTGCAAGGTCACAGGTCAGAATAGCCCCTAAGGTTATGTGGACACTGGGGGGCAATATAAGTACAAATTTGCATGTATTTCATGCATTTCTTCTTTCTCCAACAAGTGGTACTAAAAATGGTGTGAGAAAAAGAACACTATGGTGTGAGGAGCTGTTCACGTCATTGAGCGATGCAGAAATTGTTACTGATCAAAAGCTTTTGAAGGTTTTGGTAAATAATTTGTAAGCAATAAAGAGAATCATAGAATATGGTCTCTGTTCTGAGACAAGACTTGTCATGCTTGTTTGAACATGAGTCTGTGTTTGGATCAATCCAAATGACACATCCATTTAATGCCATTTCAAGAGCAGAAAAACAAAATGTACGCTCAATAATCCTCAAGAAAATACGTAAGCAAAAATTGTCATGAAAACAGGACATGAGCAAAGACCTCTCCTTGGCCCTTTGTCTAACCTTCAAGGTTTTCATAGAAATCGCTTTTTATTTAATATGCTAAGAAAGTGGTGGACTAAAAAAATGAAGGTCAGGATTGTATTTACCTGTGCAATCATGGATATAAAGATGTGTCGTCCTTTTGCAGAAAATGGGATTTTGTTTTTTAGGCTAAAGTACACTTTGCTGGTACCTGATCAAATTAGATTTTTGTGTTTTTTTTTTAAACTTTTAAATAAAAAAAACAAATTTCCTTTCTGTTCTGAAACCTTATAGCTAAAATTGCTGCAGTGTAACTGTGCAGCATATAGAATAAAAACTACATCTCAGTATAATGTGTCCTGCATATTGATTTTCTTTTCCACTCTGCATGTTCTGTTGGCTGCTTAAATCACCACGCCCATTTATACTTTATTCATTTTCACCATTTGTTGCACACTATATCGAATTCTCTAGATTTACTGTATTTATTGTTGAAGAGAAAACTGTCAAAGAACTCTAGCCCGACTGATATCATTTCCTGTTATTTTGTGTGTGTGTTTGAAGACGGTAAGAGACTCATCCAGGTGTAAGCGCAGGGAAGAGCTGGAGTGTTTCAGGCTGGCCAGCTGCAGGAGCTGCTTGCTGAACGTCAACTGCCAGTGGGAGCCACAGCAGCAGGAGTGTCAGGCGTTGCCTGGTGAGGAGAAACACTCACGCATGTAACATAGTAGCAAGCAAATTAAGTACCTCAAGTTAAATTCATGAAGCTCATTTTATTCCAAGTGAATCTGAAAACTTTTTCACCCGGCTTTGCAAAGTCTTTGCACAGCATGTTTGTGATTTGCTTTCTAATCTGCTTCCTCATGCAGATTGAGGCCATATGCAGCAAAATGAGAACACCTTGAGAATCTACTCTATTTACATAAAGAGTTTACAAATGCACGCATGGATAACCTGTTTTCTAAATGCTCTGTGAATCTTTTTGATGATATTTACGACAGTGTAGCGTTCGCCCTGAAGTGACTGCAGTACTTTTTCAGAACTACTGGAATGTATGTCATATAAAACATACTGTGAAGTAAGACAAAATATTTTGCATGTTCCCACGATAACCAGTGGCATAGTCTTAGTGGTCTTCACAAATAAACACCCTCATATTCAGGCAAGCATACATTCAGACAGGATTAGTATGAACACACACATAGAAGCATGCACACACTTGAGAAATGTGCTCTGCACTCAGCAGCATAGAGAAGTAGGCCAATTAGAAGTGTTTACTGGATGTTCTGAATATGAATCCTTGGATGACTAACAAGTTTGAGTTATGCTGTGCAGCCTTAAAGCCATAGCTGCTCCTACTTTGACTTTTACTGCTAGCAAATATAGGGGCACAGGAAACACTCCTGCTACTTGAGTCCATAAATGATGCAGTTCCATGTTTTATTGTGTTATAAGGACCTCCTGGGTTCATTGGCAAAGACTTGTGAACTTGTACTAGCTTTAAGCCGAAGATGGCGGGCCCTTATGTTTTGCTGGGATAATAGAGTTTGATAACTTGATTATTACTCAGGAATGTGGTAGTTTGTTCATTTGCAGTTCAAACCCATGTCTGAAGCTGGATAAAACGAAGCAGAAATATCAAGATTTTTCATGACAGTACAATGTAGACTAACTAGGAATGTTTCCGATGACTAATTTAGCAGTCCATTAAACAGGAGAACCACTAATGGGCTAGGTCTGTGAAACAGAAAAACAAAATTATGCTCAAGCTAATGGATCAGGTTGGGGGGGTTCATTATAAACGCGTACTCAATATTGTGTCAATATTGCACATAGGATAATGTCAAATAATTTGGTAATTGTTCATTTGCACAATTATGTTCAGAAACATCTCAATACCAACATGCACGTTTCATTTGAGTTAGATCTTGAAAATAACAAGTACAAAATAAAACCATAGATCAATTTTAGTCAGAGCATTATTACAGCATTTCTATAAATATTCTATAAATGTTACAATACTGTGAACATTTTTTCACTATTGAACTGAAATTCTGTCAGTGTGACAGCCCTAGAAAGGTTAAACCACAGACGGTATATATGTATGACTAATTGGGTTTTGGACTGACTTTTGAAGCCTAAGCATTTCATTTTCATTTTAGTATCATATCCATATTTGGATGAGACAGTGTACTGTTAATCTAATCATCTAATATATACAAGGAAACTTCATTCAACTGTAAATTGGTGCAAAGCACTGAAACATATGAGTTAATTAAAACTAACATGATATCAATAATAAACAAACTGGATCTTCTGGGTGGATTGTACCTTATAGCAAGTTATTCTATGTTAGATCATTCCATTAAAATTGCACCAAAAACACCAAAGACACAAACATGGCCCAGGGATCTAATTCAGTGACTACACTTAGCAGAGGTGAGGCCTAGCAGAATTCAACTGACCATAACTCAGTGTCATTTAAACACCCACGCCCTTAATTCCAGTATCCAGATTGAAGAGACAACTATACAGTTGTTATGAGAGAAGACCCCATAGAGGCCAAAGTTGTTTTATACCAGGGTGTAAAAATATTTTAATGCTATAAAGTTAGGCCTTTAACATGGCAGTGCCAGATTTTTATCAGGATTTAAAATAATTACTGGTTAGTACTTTTTGTGCCAAATAGCAAGGGCATTAACATACTGTGTACAGTCGAGTAGTTACCCACATCCCCAAATAATTCTAAAGGTTTTCTAATTATTCTTTTTCTATTGTTTTTTGGACTCCGCGGGAACTGTTTGGGAAGTGGCTTGTTTTTTAGCTGCTGAGGTTGCAACTTGAGATCATCCATACAGTTGTTGCCTCAGAATGTTAGAGCGATTTAAAACTGTTAATTACAGTTTTAAATAAATGAAATGTATTTGAATTACCATTGAAAATTTAGCCCTTACAATCATCTGCCTAATATTTCACAAATGTACGTAGTTTATCAAGTGTGCTTTAACGTTAGCAGTGCTAGCACTAGCAGACTCATTTCCTTGCAGTTTAATGTCATATCCCAGTGCAGACTATGGCTGGATATTTCTCTGGTGGAGTGGAGACTTCACATTGGTTTATTATGCAAATGATGAAAACGGCAGTTCATTTTCTGGTGGTTCTGGCAGTATAATTTTGTAATGGTATGTTTATTTTCAAGGTTTAGGAAACTAAGGCTGTGATTGTATTTTGTTTAAAGCTTAAATGGACAGAGATAGAAGACAGACATGTGCTTCTATTCTCTGTAAATCAAAATGAGTACTACTATTTGCATCTTCCATGCATTTGATAGTATTCTGCAGCTACCCTCTTATATTGCAACACTGGAGCTTCACCATCCTGCCACTTCTCTAGTATTTATATGTCCACAGGCAAGATTATGCTACTTGGCATGAAGCGTCGCAGACCACACAGAATAAATACGATATTTCTTTTTTGTTTGAGTCCATTAACATGCTGAGGCCGAAACAAAGCTTCTGTTTTCCTGGAGTTTTATGTGGAGATGGCTAAGAAGAGTTGGGTTATTTAAAGCTGTCTCTAACACCATGACAGCAGTGGCCTTTTCTTTAGACATCATGTTATGACTCATTCTAAATGGTCCAACATGTTTATCTCTGATTTTTACACAAAGACTGTAACCCAGTCAATCTGTTTATTCTTACGCTCCCCCCTTTTTAACCCTTAACTTTACTTTCTCCTCCTGTTTCAGTCAATTATTGCGTACTTATATTGCATGTAAAAAAGATAAATAAATAAAGAGAGCAGGTATTTTCTTTTCTGTTTTGGAAAGGTTGGTGATGGAAGCCATTATAGGCATGTGAATGTAATCAGTCCTGGAGACCAAAATAAACAGCAGTGCTCTGGAGACTGAATGGCTATTCTTTCCTTTCATCCTGGCTAATTGAACGGCCTCTGCACTGTTATAGTCTCCCACAAGACACTTTAGTGACCCAGATAAGAACAATGAGTGCATATATGCGTTTTATGGGTGAATTTATCTTCCGCTTCTACGCAGTCCTGTTCCTTTATCCTACGGGCGACATATTGTTAACTCCTGGGAATCCTATTTGTCAGGTCTGTACAAAGCAAGAATTTGCTGCTTTAATCCAAGACAGCATTAATCAACAATTACATCAGCCTCTAATATTAACTTCATAAATATTTAATCACATAAGCCAGAAGAAATTCTTTTAATGTGGTTCAGTCATCTGTTTATTCTGGCAGAAAAGTTTACTCTCCAGGCCATCACATCTGTTCCAGTATCAGTGACTTCTTTGTCCATCACTTACCTTCACTGAGGATCCCACTTTGGTCTCAGCTGACTCTCAGCTCACTTGCACACCTGCTCCTCATTAGACTTGGTCTAAATACCAGCCCTCAACTGGCAGCATGAAGGATATCAATTAGGTGGCTGCTTGACTAATGAAACCTGCAGTTACATCCAAGTAAAGGCTGCTTACACCATTCTTCTTGTTTGCTCCCCCTCCTTGATGTTGCATTGCTGCAAAAAAATAAATCTGTAATATAAAATGTGTTAGTCTAGCACGGGGGTCGGCAACCTTTAACACCTAGTTTCCACGCAAAAGAAAACACTGGGAGCCGCAAATACTTTTTGATGTCTAAAATGAAGATAACACTGTATAAATTGTTGTTTTTACCTTTATGCTTTGTGTGAACAACTAAGGTGTGTTGCTTATTAAATCCATTTTATTTATGTAATTAACACATTTTGAACTCTTAAAGAAATATAACAAAAGGAAAGACACCCAGCTGAACTAAAATGATCCATGTAGCAAACAAAAACTGTTATATCGCCTTTGGGCTTTTAGAGCCTTGACCTGACTTTTAAAAAATAATTTGGGGGAAAAAGCACTATGCTGCTAAAAAAAGAAAAATAGATATTTGCAAATTTCTGCCTAAATATGTATTTTACCTGGTTAATGTGTGTGGCGGGGCGTGGTCTGCAGCGCCGCTGCATGAGCGGCACCTGCAATCACGCCTCGATAAGGTATTGCTTTGAGGTTTTTGTTTTTACCCCAAATGTGTAATATCTGTACATCTATTTATTAATCATATTGTTCGTTTTCTTCTGTGCAATGAATGAAAATTTGAGGATTACAAGTCTCTAAAAATATCATTTTTATGCTTTTTATAATGTACAGATTATTGCATGAAAGTTCATTGTACAAATGAAGTCGAAGGAAAAAAAAACAGTACTGTGTTTCTGTATGCAGGCCAGCTGTGTGGGGATGGCTGGCACCAGGTTGGCGAGGTCTGCCTGAGGATCAACTCCAGCAGAGAGAGCTATGACAATGCCCAGCATTATTGCAAAAACCTTGGAGGAAATATTGCTTCTTTGTTGACAGACAAACAGGTCAATTTTGTTCTGGAAGAGCTACAAAAGTATCAGCTACAAGACAAGGTGGGTGGTTGTCATGCAGTAAATTCAGAAATGACAGGCATGCAAACAATGTCAGTGACAGGTATTCATTATTTTCCACTTGTATGCCTTATAAAATAGCTGTGGCTGTTTATGCACCATTATATGTTGGTGGGCGCAGATATAAATCCAATTTTTAGACATGTTTGGAATGATAATCATAAGAAAGAGTAGTGTGGAAGCAGATGTAGGTTATCACTTTAGAATAGAGGTTCCTGGTGAAAGCTATATTCTTCAAGTCTGTGTGTATTCTACAAAAAAGTTACATTGGAATGCCAATAATTTAGGTTTTTAATCATCTTTAGCACTCCTGACTAAAACGATGTGTAGTCACAACCTTAAAAAATTATTGTTCATAGTTATCTTTATTAATTTGGTCATATGAAGAATGCATGAATCTTCTGATGTACCTGAGGTTTTACCAGGCCAAATTTGGTAGCATTCCTTCTTGTTGAAACTTGTTATAACTGTAAGAAAAGGTTTGAAAGTGTATGCTAGATCACTTCAGGGCCAGTGTTGAAAAGATGTAATTATTTCCAATAGATCCTCCAAACAAAATGATCAACTCAGTTGTTTGTGTCTATCCTCAGGAAACTGGATGAGTCTGGTCTGAGATTAAGCAAAATTTAAAAGCATTTTGCCCAGATATGATTAAAAAGTTGTATATGAATGTAACTTAAGGTTACAACTGCCACCATCTTCGTGCCATTGACACAGGTGCAACTTTGTGAATTGTGGCCATTCTGTGATATATGTGTACACAAACCTGCCTCCATACATTATTTATCATTGGATGCCAAATAATGTGTTTCTCACCAGCACAAAGCAAGGCTCACAAGCAACTAATCATTAACAGAAGCAGTTGTGGCGGTTCCATTTCCATAGATTCAAGATATTTCTAATTGGGGTGTGTATGTGTTTTATCTACCATGGAAATTGGACATTTAGAAAGCAAAAAACCCTTCTAAGGCCACCATGGAGCACAAAGACAAACTGCATGGTTATAAATGACCGTCACACTGAAATGCTCACTTCTAATTCTCATGTTAGGAACTCCATATGAGAATCTGACATGCTTGACAACATTTCATGATGAATCCAATCTGTCCGGAGAAACAGTGGAGGGTACAAATGTAGTCAATTTTCTTCATTTTTTGACATTTAGAAATCAAAATCTCACAACCTACATTTACTATGCCTTCAAAAAAGGTTTTTTCTTTTCATCTGGATTACAAAGGATTTTCAAATGGAGGAGCTGACTAGACACAGAAAGGCGTGCGAAAATATGCATTTGCTGACATATAAATGCAATGTCACAGTATTCTTGGGAACCTGAATTTATCTAATGAAATGAATCACAGCTGTGGGAAAGAATTCTTTCACGTCACAAATGTTTTGTCGGCAGATAATTCAAATGTTCACTGAACTACACTTCAATCAGCTGCTGTAATTTCTGGCCCTTTTTGAAATCTTGAATGAGTTTGTGCTTTTATAGCAATTACAGTCATTTGCAGATGGTTTGATTTAGGATCCACTTTAATGGAAAACACGACACTGTCTTCTTGGCAAAGTAGATGTTGTCTTAGTTAAATTACTATGTGCTTCTTGCTTAGGTGATAAAAAGCATAACGTGACCTGCTATGAAAGAAACGGGATGAGGATTAATTGTGTTTATACTCTTTCATTTGATGAATCTGACAGAAGCACAGCTATCTCTCTAAAGGGCAGCGTCTGAATTTGTGCAACGTTTACTTACACAACTCTACGTAAGAGTTTATGAAATATTGTAGGGAACATGAATGGAGACTTTTACCGTCTTTGTCACCCCAGAAACACATTTATATTTAACTATGAATAAAGCTCAGTTAACTTCTGAAGAAAATATTGGAAGGATCTTCTCTTACTGTGATATGAAACAGTATCAAGTAACATCATAAGGACTGTCAGCTTTCTCCCAAGTTAATGACCAGTGCTAATTCCACATAACAGAATATCAAGAAAAAGTTTGTATATGTTGTACATAAAGTCAGTCACTGACTAATTCAAACCTGTCTTTCTGCTTCTACAGATGTTATCTCCATGGGTTGGCCTGAGGAAGATTAATGTGTCGTACTGGGGCTGGGAGGATGCATCCCCCTTCACCAACACCACCCTGCGATGGTCACCTGGAGAGCCCAGTGACTCAGGCTTTTGTGCTTACTTGGAACAAGCTCAAATGGCTGGTCTTAAGGCCAACCCCTGCACTGCCACCACTGATGGCCTGATCTGTGAAAAACCTGCTGGTGAGAAAAAAAGAATAGAAAGACAAAAGAAAAAAATGTATTTGAAGGTTAGCGCACCTAATGAAACCATACACCCACCAGCCACTTCATTAGGAACATCTGCTCAGTGTGCAAAATGCTAATCAGCCAATTATATGGCAGCAACTCAATGCATTTAGACATGTAGATGCGTTCCAGGCAATCCGCTGAAGTTCAGACTGCTGTCTTTTTCTTGCACAACCATTTCTACAGTTTACAGAGGTCAGAGTAATTTGAGTAGTCTGGCCGTTCAGGCTCATGGTGGTAGGGTCATGGGGTCATAGGGGGATATTTTCTTGAAACACTTTCGCCCCCTAAATATTACTTGAGCATTGTTTAAGTACCACAGCCTGCCTGCGTATTGTTGCTGACCCATGTCAATCCCTTTATGAGCAAAGTGTATCTATGTTCTGATGGCTGCTTCCAACAGGAATGTGCCATATTGTCTCCAGATCTATAAAATAGTCAAACTTGTGTTTTTACAGCTACACTATCTTACTATTTGGATGTCACTGAATGCAAAACAAATATAGCTAACAGGTCATTTAATGTTTCACACACCATGGTGCTGTCTATCCCTTGCTCAGGGAGTCCCCAGAGTCAGAGTGCTCGTCCCTGTAAGACACCTTGTGCTCTGCGCACCAGCTGTGCCAACTGCACCAGCCAGGCCATGGAGTGCATGTGGTGTGGACGTACTCAGCGCTGTGTAGACTCCTCTGCGTATGTCATTTCCTTCCCCTACGGCCAGTGTCTGGAGTGGCAGACCCAGGATTGTACTGGTGAGACTTTTTACTATGCTGCTACCATCATTGTAGCGGAAAATATTATATTGTTTTTTGCTTTTATTCATCTGACAGGTAGACTTATAAGTATAACCATAGGTAATTACGTGCAAGAGCAAAAAATCACACTCATTTAGTGTGCTTGGTGCGTTACACTGTTGTTTTTTGTTTTGTTTTTTTACAGGTAGCCTGAACAATTCCTTACTGTCTGTAATTCCTATTTATTTAGTGGAATATTTACTCAAAATGGGTCATTATTTTTCTTTTTTTGCTCTTATTAAACTGAGAAATTCTAGTACTTTTTATTTGATTACTTTAATTTTTGCGAGTTTTTGGACTGGATTCTTGTACAAGTCTCAGTGGTTTAAAATTGTTACTGATATTGGGAGAAATAAGTTACAAAGGTCAGGTATAATATTATTTGTTCATAATCAAAGTGGAGTGTAGAGCCATGCCAGAAAAACATAAACTTGTGGCATTTTTGAATGTTTGTACTCTGCTGTATGTTATCTTTGTGTCAGGATAGTTTATGTCTACACAAACAAATAAACAAAAGATAAAAACTGTTACTCATACCTTCGGGAAAGAGACCAAAGTGCGATGTGTGGACAGAGTCATTCCAGGCTCCCATCGACTGTCTTATCAGCAGTCAAGGCTACCCATCAGCCTCACACACACATTGACTCAAACACACCAACACTAGGGCAGCGCCAACTCTCCTGTAGCTACAGGGCAGAAAATCAATCACCTACAATGACACATAACTCACTCAATATGAAGTCCTCGCTGCTGTCTCTTAACATTTCTCTGATATACAACCTCTCCCCGGGGATGGTATAGTTCAGCTTCACCGCTGCTTTCTGATGAGATGGTTTCTTAGCATGGCTGAGCCCTGTGACTCTTTCGTGGCGCCTAATCGTTTTTGGGGTTTCTAAATCCTCAGTCTCACCGGGAAAGTAACTTGGTGAATTCCGTACAACAAATTAAACAAATAGGTGGTTGGGTTTTTAGGTGAATTTTCATCCACTCTGGGTCACATTTCAATTGAAAGGTTGGTTTGTCCAGGCTAACACAAACAAGACAGAAGGTTAAGCACTAAGGCGCAAATGGAAATACAGGGAAGATGTAACTATTACTACTAGTACAGAAAAACAAGATGGGAACCAAAATACAAGCTATCACATAATTGAACTGTCCCTAGAAGTGATAAAATAATAAGCAGCAAGAGACTAAAGGGACAGGAAGATCAACTAAAGACTATATCACCACAACTGAGATTCACAAGAAATTTGAATAATAAAGAAATGAAATATAATTATTCTCAAACACAACCCAACAATATTCAAACATCCAGAGTACTCAGAAAACAATAATAAACTAATAATAAACTGATAATAAACTGATAAATAATACATGAATACCAAATCCTCACAGTAACTCAAAATCCTGGGTCCAGAACCTGGGGATAAGTACTCTAGGTTGTACTTTTGCAACAGCCAGCAGACCACATAGGGATTATAGGACCACCTTGTGTCTTTCTTTTACATTTTACTTTCCCTTGCTGTAAGAGCTCTGTAACACCAAAATTTCTCATCCGTGGGATAAAGGTCTATTCTGTTTTATTCTAACTCAGAAGATCTAGGGAAGCAATAGAAATTGCAGTTTAATTGACCCGAAGAAGAAGTTTGGGTAGAAAACCTCAGTTTATTAGGAATATTGAATAAAAAAAAAATAACAACAGTGACATTTTCTTTTAGTTCATGGGACAGATACAACCAGTGTGCCAACCTGTCTTAGTTTTTCTGAGATGTGGCATGAGACTCTATAGGGGATGTCCTTGTGAACAAGAAATATATTAAACTGGTAACAGTATACACTGTGGCACTCAGTCCTAGCTGGGGCTGCACAAGACCCTCAGCCATGGGTCAGTTGCGTCTGATCGTCCAGCTCAGGTCTCACAGGCTGAGGTGGCTCACACAGGGGACTCAGGATCCACCAACTGGGGCACAGATTTTGCAAGAACCTGGACAGGTGCCAGTTCAGTGTGGGGAGGCCCCGAGCAGAGCTGTATCCGGTGGAGCCATCTGTGGGGAGGTCCTGGATACCCTCAAAACACTGCACGCATGGATTTCAGTCTAATGGAAGTAGAGCAGAGTTAATCCTGCTTCCAGAGAAAATGGCCAACTGCAACCTTGAGGTGGCAGTAGGAGGGAGGCCAACAGGCCAGAATAGACATTTTAATTGAGATCGATTTTCAGATTTGACTTGACAAGCCTTACTTGCCTCACTTGCCCTAATTCAATGCTGTGAGGAATGAGGCATGACTTATTCTATACACATAACACTCATTTCCTATATTTCTATATACACAGCTGCTTGTGCAAAACAAAGCTTTACAAGATGGAGTTGATTACAAATTTCTGCCTTTGATTTTATTGCAACTTTGGAAACTTCAGACGTCTAGTTTAAAATTCTGGACCTCACTAATTTCCAAACCCTGTTTAGAAATTAGTTTGGTTCTATTTTAGGGAAAGTTAGAGCAAGGTAGAACTATATTTTATTTGGCAGTTCAACAAGTGTCTCTTAGGGGAAAAAAAAATCAAAGTATTCTCCTGAGGCAAAACTTTGCATTGTTATTTTCTGTCATTTGTTAGACAAATACTCACTTTGGAGCAAAGTGTTCTTGTCTGTACAGTTACAGAAACTGCTTCAGAAACAAGAATTTTCTTTCTTTTTGTGACTGGTGATTATTATTCCTTCCTGATGCCAGTACTCTAAGTGCAGACAGCTCTCCAGCCTACTGTTAGCAAGCCAAGGATGTCTTCCTGTCTTTCGTCTTACGTTCAGTGCTTACATAATGGCACGTCCCCCATCTTCTCTTTTATTATTCATGTCTCCATTTGGTGACAGAAGGTATGTAGGAGGCTTTTGTTTTGCTATTTTTTTTTTTTTACCTTTGTTGCTGAAAGCACAGCTTAGTTTACTTATTCTAAAATATGACATATTTTATTTTTCAAATTCCCCCGATGGTGCATCTCAGTCCACAATAAAGGCACTTCAGCTAACATTATTTAATATCAGGTAATTTATAAATTAATTAGCATTAAGTAACAATAAACAAATGTCTCAATGTTTAAGGATTTACCTGTTTATTGCTAATGTATGTTACTATATGGTTAGTGAAAATGACTAACATGTATATCATGACATTGACAGCCAAGGTGTTTCATTAATCATAAGCGATTGCTTTATAGTGATAAAATACAACACCATTTACTTTTTTAAATCTAATTTATTCAAGGTTCACGGTTGTCCTACTCTTTCATTCTCTAATTTGTAATCGGTTTTTCCTTGAGACTTACGTGAGACTTATATTTACTGATTTCCAGTGTTGGGTAAGTTACTTTAAAATAGTAACTTAGTTACATTACTAGTTACTTCTCTCAAAAGTAACTCAGTTACTTCAAGTTACTCATTACTTTCAAAGTAACTAGTTACTAGGGAAAGTAACTTTGGTTTTACTCAGAATTCTCTTGTTAATGGG